ATATAAATATATAAATTCACACATATGAATATACTTTACAAGTAAATTTTAAAGGAAGCAAAATGCTTTAAGTTTCTAATAAGAGGATGGTAATGCGCACCTCCAAACGAGACGAAAACCCTTGACGCGCACAAGGTAGGGTAAAGGGAAAAAAAAATATTCGGGTGTTACAAGTAGCAACTTCGGTTACTTGACCTATGATAATTGGTACATGATATCATGGTCGAATAGCAACTCTAGTTACTTGACCTATAATAATTGATACATAATATCTAGATTACTTTTAGCATACTTGAAAAGTAAAACAAGCATGTGAATACATGATTACATGTATATAAAATGCAAAGTAACAGTTTGGAGATTTTTGCATCATACGTTTTTGTATACTATATATCTTTACATACTAACTTCATTTATAGACTTGATTAGAAAATTTCTCTTGAATACATGTTCAAATCTAGCTTCTTGTTTAAGAACTCTTTTGAAGAGTAAATCTGATAAGTTTATCTAGCTATGTTTTTTTTTCTCAATTTTGTCACCAAACTTATATATGGAAAATATTCTTTTAAACAAGATTAATTCAAAACCAACATATTTAGTCATCTACTATGGTTTTATAAAATAAGAGCTTAAAAGCTCTGAATGTCATCTGAAATTTTAAGTTGTAAACATATCCCTTAATACATCTTAATCCTAATCCTCCTTTTATCAAATGGTTCATATTTTGGGGGTTGGAAGAGATTTGTTAGCAAAAACTATTTATCTTTTATACTTTTGTAGATAAACTATTTATCTTTTATATTTTTACACTAATTTGACCGATTCAGATTTCAGACTTCAGATGTAAAAACAAACAATCTTACTGATCCAGATTTCAGATTTTAGAACCACCTCTTATAGATCAGAAGTGAAATCAGATTTCAGACTTCAACACATCTTAAAAAACAAATGCCACCTAAGACTTTTACTTATAGACTTTTCCTTAGAAAATTTGTCGCTAAAGGGTGATTCATCACAAAAATGTCTCAAAAATTTGTGGGTAAATTGTTGGTGGATAATCCAAATCAGTGACAAATTATCCAAGCATTCTTTAGATGATCCGTTGGTATTTTTTCAAAAGACATCAAATTCTATGAACCACTGGTATTTTCTGCATGTTCCGTTGGTAATCATCGACGAAAAATTCCGTAGTCAATTATTGTTAAAAAGTCATTTGTTTTGTAGTAGCTAAATACATACATATCATGAGAGAGAGAGAGAGAGAGAGAGAGAGAGAGAGAGAGAGAGAGAATAAACAAAAAGAATGTGGTTGGATTTTAGTTTCTTGAATTTGGTTGTAACTTAAATTTTGCTACTTTTCAATGATGTGTCACTTATTTTCATGAGTCTTCCTTTTCAGAACTACATAGAAGGTGATTCCCACAACCATGGTCAACATCTATTTCTCCATAAAACGTGCTTGCTCTAAGAAAGGGAGAGCTTTCCTCTCAATCATTTGATTTCGCTTCTCTTTCCGCTTTATATATATCAAACCCTAATCTCACCTTCCTAATCATTCGATTCTATTCTCTATACTCCATCCTCTTCACCATCGCCATGGCTCTTTCGCTTCTCCTTTCAATCTTCCTCCTTTGGTCACTAGTATCCACTGCCACGGCCTTCAACATCACCAAGATTCTTGATCAACACCCCGACTATGCGGTCTTCAACCAGCTGCTAACCAAGACCCATGTGGCCCAAGAGATCAACAAGCGGAAATCCATCACCGTCTTGGCGGTCCCTAATGGCGCCGTGTCGGGAATCACAGGCCAAGATGAGGAAACCCTTAAGGTCATCATGAAGATCCATGTTGTTCTTGATTACTATGATTCTGCAAAGATCAAGAAGATCAAGGATGATACGACATTAACAACGTTGTACCAAACAACTGGATCGGCTGATAAAGAAGAAGGGTTTCTTAGAATTATCAAGGATGATAATGATATTAAGTTGACTTCTGCTGTTTCCGGATCTTCTGTGACTGCTAGGGTTAGCAAGGTTGTCACTTCTATCCCTTCTGATATTTCGGTTGTTGAGGTTTCGAATGCCATTATGCCTCCTGGACTAGATGGTTCACCAATTTCCCCAAGCCCCTCATCGACATCAAAGCATAAATCTCCGTCACCAAGCCCGAATAAATCTTCGTCGCCAAAATCATCAGATGCACCTGATGCAGATGACAGTAAGTCGGCGCCTTCTGATTCGGATGCACCGGCTCCTTCCCCTAAAGGTAAAGATCATGGACATGGACATAAACATAAACATAAACATGCACCAGCATCAGCACCAGCTCCATCTGACGACTCTGCCGATGCTGATGCGGATGATGATGATGCTGATGCGGATGCCGACGACAGTTCATCGCCAGATGAAGAAGACAACAGTACTGGCGATGAGGACGATGATTCTAGCTCTCCACGAAATGCAGCCGTTTCAGGTTTCGTTTTATTGGCTTCGTTGTTTGCCATGTTGTAAGGTTTGGAGAGAAGGTGGGAACAGTTAGAAAATAATGGAGAAATAAAGGAAAGAGTGGAGGATGTTTAGCAAGTCCTGAGTTCAAGTCTCACACTTGAACGTATTGTCCGATATGGATTACCAACGGGTACGATAACGGGCAAACAACAGAAGTTTCACCTCTCAGATCGAAGCAGTTTTCGGAGTTTTTAATATTTGAATGTGTCGTCTAAAGTCACGACATGAAGAGTCTTTCATTTTTGAGAATGCATGTAAGCAAATATTTCCATGGAACGAATTTTATAAAAGTACCATTTTTTTATCCTTCCAATTAGTTATGTACGTGTGTGTATATATATATATATATATATATATATATATATATATATATATATATATATATATATATATATTAAAGAAGAAACCAAGGTTGATGACTTAGCTTCTTCTAAAGGTTAGAAACTTATTTATCTTTTTATTTTTATTTTTTATAAACATTGNGAGTCTTTCATTTTTGAGAATGCATGTAAGCAAATATTTCCATGGAACGAATTTTATAAAAGTACCATTTTTTTATCCTTCCAATTAGTTATGTATGTGTGTGTATATATATATATATATATATATATATATATATATATATATATATATATATATTAATATATATTAAAGAAGAAACCAAGGTTGATGACTTAGCTTCTTCTAAAGGTTAGAAACTTATTTATCTTTTTATTTTTATTTTTTATAAACATTGATTATTCATTTATGGTTGCATTTAACATAATCCTTTCATTTTCCCTAACTCTTATTCATGAATTGTTCATCATTCAATCTATTTTTTCCTATCTCCATCACTTGATTTATTTTTCATTTCATAAACTGTTAGTTTTCAACAAATATATTTCAAGTTTATTTCGAGAAGACTAATTCAGGTATGCGTTCTTTTTTATTTTTGTTGGGATTTTAGAATTTTGTTTTTTTTTACTTCTCTCTTCTATAATTGTCCTATGTTTTCTCAATGAAACAGAGTGTTTGTTCTTGACAATATTTTTAAAGTTTTCATGGCAACAATGGTTCGATTAATAATCTGATGATGGAATCTTGAAAGTACTACCAACCATGATGTAGCCTCAACAAACTTCAACATGTTTTTGTAATGATTATCTTTTTTCAAGTATACTTTGAGAAAACTAGTGAGTGTATGCATTTCTTTTGACTTTTGTTGAGATTTTAAAGTTTTTTTTGTAATAATTTTTTATGTAGCATCATCAAACTTCAATATGTTCTTTTTTAATGGTTACGTTTTTTTTCAGGTTTATTTTGTGACGATTAATCCGAGTATGCAATTCTTTTTAATTTTGTTGGGATTTTAGAGGTTTTTTTTTTAACTAATATGTATTTCTTTTGACTTTTGTTGAGATTTTAAAGTTTTTTTATTATAATTTTTGATGTAGTATCACCAAACTTCAACATGTCCTCAAAGTATACACAAATATATTTTCAAGTTTATTTCGAGATGGCTAATTCAGATATGCGTTCCTTTTTATTTTTGTTGAGATTTTAGAATTTTGTTTTTCTTTTACTTTTCTCTTCTATAATTGTCCTAAATTTTCTTAATGAAACAAAGTGTTTGTTCTTAACAACATTTTTAGAGTTTTCATAACAACAATGGTTCGATTAATGATCTGAAGATGGAATCTTGAAAGTACTACCAACCATGATGTAGCCTCATCAAACTTCAACATGTTTTTGTAATGGTTATCTTTTTTCAAGTATACTTTGAGAAAACTAATGTGTGTATGCATTTCTTTTGACTTTTGTTGAGATTTTAAAGTTTTTTTTGTTATAATTTTTTTATGTAGCATCACCAAACTTCAACATGTCCTTTTTTAATGGTTACATTTTTTTCCAGGTTTATTTCGAGACGATTAATTCGAGCATGCAATTTTCTTTAATTTTGTTGGGATTTTAGAGGTTTTTTTAACTAATGTCTGAGGTGACCTCTTCTAAAGTCTCCTCATTTTTTTTCTCCTTCATTCTCTCAATATCCACTATTATATTTTTTTGTTAATTTATGTTTTTTTCTTAAATGTTTGCATTCAACTCCAAACCATTCATCTCCTCTCCTTCTATATTAATTCTAATGATATAATTCCAAACTATTCATTTTTTCCAATCAATAATTTATTTTTATATATAAAAACAACTACTATTTATTCATCTTTATCTCTCACACCCTCTCAAATTCTATCTCAATCCTATACATCTCTAAATTTATTTTCTTTCTCTTTGGTTTTTCTTCTATTTTACTATTAATAATATTCATAGGTTTTTTTTTTATTTTTTCACTTCTCCCATAGTTGTATGTATGTTTGTATCGTTATTTAGATTGCATTATAGTTTTTATGCATTATGTCATGAAGATTTGAAGAAGTCTTCAAGTTCAATATTTGATTTTTTGGTTTCAATACAAGGTAATAATTTTATATTGATTTGTTTCATGATTT